AGTAGTAACGCGACAGTGCCGTCTGCGTGAACTGCGAGCAGTAGTAGCGGATGAACGCATCGCTCAGCAGCTTCCACTTGCGCTTCGTCTTCTTCGGAAGTTGACGGAACCAATGAATGGCTCCGTCCCGGAGACTTAGCTCAAATGGAATGCACCATTTATCGGCATCTGTGTGGGTTCCAGTCATTTCATAGACGAACCCAAGGAGCCACTGCATACAGTTCTCGCTCTTGTTGCGAGAGCCTGAGAACGGCGTGATGCGATCCAGCGGTCGGTGCGAAGCCATTTCAATCCTCGGTGTCGGGTCTACGTCGTTCAGCGTCGCTAGCTCATTCATCTGACGCATCAACTCGAGCTGAGGATCTTCCTCGTCGAATGTACGCACCAAAATGTCATCGTCACTGGACGAACCATCGCTGTCGACTTGACGACGTCCGGCACCACCTTTGGGGGCTCGCGCACCGCCTCGGCGACCGAACGAACTCTCGTTACTTGCGTAAATGCGTTGCATACGGCTCTCCGAACGTGGCGTAACCATGTGCGAGTCTTAAAAATACGGTGAAGCTTCGGTAGTGCCAAAGGCACCACGCTCAGCTCCACGCTTGGTCGGAGGAGTACGAACGAGTCGTTGGGGCGTCGGCGGCAGTGGAATCTTAGACGGATCTTCATCTTGAATCATCGGTCGACTCACAGGCTGCTTTCCGGCATTGATGCCAACAGCGCCAAACGCCTTCCGAAGCTTCTTCTTCCATTTCTGGAGAGCAGCTCCGGCTTCATGTGGACTCCAATCCTGGAGCGACATCGTCGATGGGTACGTCTCGTTCTCGATCCCCAGCGACAACAGTAGCGAAACTGAATCCTCGGCAACTTGACTAGTCGAAACCGAGTTGACTGGGTATTGAAGTTCCTGCGCAAGCGCAGGCCAGTCGGCCTTTTTCTTGGGGATGGGCTTGAACAGCTGCATCCACTCATCATTCTGCATCAGCGCTTGTACGCGGTCGAAAACGCGCTTGGCGGCTGGTGTATCACCGTTGATAGGTGGGCGAGGTGCCTTCAGCAGTGCTGAATGCTTTGCACTCGCCACCGAAGGTTTAAAACCCTCGGTCCCATCGTCATAATCATCATAGGCCGGTTCCGGTCCCGCAACATCATCGAGCTCGTCGGCGAGGTTCCTCGAAAGGGACTTGGTCGCCCCGCTCAGCCCCGATGATAGCGTGGCCGTCTCCGGCGTCGCTGCGCCTGGCTCTGGAGCCGGCGTCTTATCTTCGTAATCTTCATAATCGTGGGCGTCAGGACCGATGTCCGCTTCGTCGTCGAAGCTCACTGAAAGCTCGGTGGCGGCTGCAAAGCGCGCAGCCGGGATTGAACTCTCGTTGCGAGCCCCGCCAGACTTGGCAGGCGTAACTGGTACCGTCGGTTGTCCTTTCGCCATGTTTCTTGTCTTTTTCTTGTTCTTCTTCTCTTGGTAGCTCGTAAACTGGAAGGCCATACAAACAGTTCACAATGGTCACAATCTGTTCCCGGGTCGCGGCACCAGTTGTGGTGTTGGAAATCCCACGTGAACTCTAGCTACAGATGTAGTTAGGATGTTCCCACAACAATACGTCTACTAGGATAGTAAACGATCGTTCGGGCGGACCTGAAGACCCCAGTTCTGCCCTTGCACCGGGACAAACTGGACCTTGTAAACTACTTATATAGGCCAACCAGTAAAATAAGAACACGCTACTAGCACGAGCAAAGCTAGCAGGTGTTTTGAATCCTCGTGGTCCCAACAGCGGAAGGGTACCAGGCACGGGTAAGCCTTTTACGAGATCACCGAGTGTTCAACACTCAGATGGAAGAAATAAAAGGGAGGCAATTCAAGCACTCCCAGTCGTGCAAATAGGCAACAATAAGCCGTCACGTAAAACCTCCCGATAATAATCGGCCAATACACAAAGTCTCTTGGCCTTGCCGGATGAACCCTCGCTACAGAGCTTCGAGTTCACCGACAGGCATAACACACTCAAACAAGCTTGACCTGACGCTTACCTTGAAGCCGGACGTCGCTCTGTGTGCTTGAGTGGAAATTCTGTTCTGTATTTAAGCTTACCCTTTCGGGTCTATTCCTAATAAGAAGTCCTAATCAAGTATACAAATATCAAGTGAACAATGATCCGTTATGGATCTTCTTGCATGCCAAGCGTCATCTGCACTGTCGCATGAGCATCTTTAACGGTCCGCGCCCTGTCCCAGACGGTGAACGTGTCTTCCAAAGGTCGCTGAGTATTCCGCGAACTCATCCCAACCGCCACTGAGGGTTCGTACCGGATGGTCCGCTGAATGCAAATCCGGCCAGTCCATTATTAATAATAAGGACAGCCTGGGATTCAGTGACATAGGGCCGTATCCGATATTTGTTGAAAACTCGGAGGTGACGCCGTCGAGTCCCTTGCACCTTGGGCGTCTCCGTACATCACCCGACCGGGGGCTCGTCGCTTGAACAACTTGGGCGGGGTCACGTCTTTGTCGACGGGTGATAATCCGCAACCACGGAGGAATCACTACACCACAGGGACGTCACGTTGGGAACGGTCCAGATCCGACCGTGGAAGACACCGTGCGACAGGCTCCGGGCGATGTGGCTCGGCGAGGTCACCGAGCGTCAGTCGGGGAGAATTGTCACGGTGTACAGTCAGACGGTGTATTAACGATGCTGGCTGACTGCCTGCAGAAGGTCTACTCACTCCAGACTCTCCGGACCACGTCCAAGAAAGCGGGACCTGCGGCCGAGACAGTGACGTTCCAAGTTTGAAGTCGCGAAGCAGCTGGTCGTGGCGGGAATCGGAGCTGACCGCCACGCACGAGGGATCTACTAAAAGGTAAGAAGCTCTAAAAACTCTTAGCGAGGTGAAATGAGGAAGTCAGTCGTGGATTTCCTTCTAACAAGTAACACAAGAATATATCAACTTTTACATTACTATCGCAGTAGTGTCGCTAATACTACTACCTCCTACGTCGGCCCAAGATACTCACGACCCCGATTAGAGGAAGACCGCGACAACCCCGAGTTGACATTTGGCTTTATATTACCTAAATTGATATTTGTGTCGACTCGGATTACTACTTTTTGTCCATCACTTTGGGAATATTTTGTAGTTGGTCGACGCGTACATGATGTCCGCAGCGTGGTGCTCACACTTTTGCCCTCCGATCTCGTCCTTTCGACAGAATGGTTGTTCCGGCTTACGGTACAGGGGCATTGGAAAAGGGCAACTGCAACGACCTTCACTCTGCGGCGTCTCTTGCCATAATCATTCGAAGTTCGTGATCAGTGGTCTGCATTGGACCGTTTAGAAGCCTCACTATGATCGAAATACAGTGTAGGTCATTGATGATTGACCCCATCGATTGGTGTGCTCCTTCACGACGGCAAAAACACATTTTCGAGTACACGTATCCTGAAAGCAGCCACTAAAATGTACTATTAACGCAATTTAACTCACAGTCATGCATTGTTGCCACCGAGATCAGCGTTGCATCGGCACCAACGTAGCATTATTAATAGGTCTCATCCCGTTGTCGTACCGGTAAGGCTCAGTCTTATATCGTCCCAAAAGAGGGATGGACCAATCAGCGATCTAGTTTGCGGGATATTGGGATGACCTGTAGGGTTGACACCCCTTCTCGTCCCACTGGGACGTTGTGTGGCACGGTCTTGGGATACACAAATCCCGCTCATCTCAAATCCAATCGTCTATATTCCACACCAGCACACACCGCCGACACGAGCCACCTGTCTATAACACCGGGTTGGAAGTCCTGCGGATTCTCGAAATTGCAGGCATCCCATCCCGCTATTGTGGGCAGATATAAGACCGAGCCTAAAGTGTACTTCTCCGGCCCACTTCAAAATGACGATTTCAGTTTTGGGCAAAAAACTCTTTAACAAGAGCTAGCTGGTAGACACATGGCACACCACGTCATAGCCCGAAGTACGACGCACAGGAACATATTTTTTAGGTTGTAAGAATGGTAAATATGCGCGTGCACGCTGCGATCAAAACCGCCGCGTTTGGAAAGGCATTAGGTTTTTTGTCGCAATTCAGTCAAAAATTAGCGATATTACACCATACTTTTAGAGCGGCTAAACCGGGCAATTAACAACAGCTGGACGCAGTTTCAGACGCAGGGGCTTACTGGAAGCACCGCGAATTAGATGTGTTTGGGGCGAGGTTTATTCGGAAAGTCGAGAGCATTTGTGTAAACCAACTATTTATATTGACCAATCAGTGATTGCCTAAAAATTATAATGATAATTACGAGCAACAAAAGGCTCAATTAACTTCAAATTTACGCATACAGCTGACTATATCCTTTCGTAACCGCATCGGTGTCGACTACAACCGACATTGGCATTCGCGCATTACGTCCAATATGTTTACTAACGCGCGGAAGCTTGAAATCGTTGCCCCCACCACTAATCATAATAGACTCCATCACTTTCTGCAAAGTGATAAAACACTTGTCAAGGGTTTGCCACCTGAGCTCGTCGAAAGCTTCCTCAACCGCCGTAATAAGGCTGTCAGAGTCGTAGGCAGATTTTCGATACTTGTAACGGGCCAGGTATTTACTCCGTTACTTGCTTACACTATAGTGTTGAGGAAGCTCGCAATAGGACGACTGAGTCTTAGGTTTAAGGAAAAATCAACTCTGACTTTATTTTAGGACCAAGGCCACAGCCCTGGCCACTCAAATACACGTCATAGTCCAATTGGCTAATAATGGGTCTGGCTCCCCATATATCAGCCAATGGCATGACAGCATTTCAGCACACGCTAGTCGTGTGCTGATGCACCTACTTTTGTAAAGAAATCTACCTACTTATGTAATGGAGGGGCCCATTACATTACCCCCCTCTTAAAGTTGCACTTACGCAACATAAGCACTGATGAAGAACATTGGAGAAGACGGCTGGAACGGCGGAGACAGCGGCGACATCGGCCACGCTCACGACATCAAGCCACTGGCGTATCAACAAGAGACACCATGTAGGAAATGTAGAATCGAGTAGATGTGAATGACTTGGATTGAACGCGTGCCAGACGCGTTTCGGCCCCCGCCGGGGCCTCGTCAGTGGCTTTACCAATCTCGAAGTGAGAACTAACCAACCATCCGCTAGCTAAGACCTATCACTATGCCTAGATCCTTCTAGAACCTTCCATGTGCCGTAACATAGGATACTACTCTGGAGTCGATGTACGTGCACATCTTGCACTTCCAACACTCCCCCTCGACGACATGAGTCGTAGCCGTCTTGGTCACGAGTGTACAGCCATCGGCTGCTCTCCGCATGATGCTTGTCAGCTGCAGTCTCTTCACTGCATACATTCTTGTAGGGTTTACCACCTGCGCGCTGGCCAGCGTAACCGTTGCTGCCGCGATCGCTAGGTTTCCCGGCTCCCTCATGTTCACCACCACGTCGTCCCTTGACACCTTGTAGCCGTCCTTGAGCCTTGCTTGAGCTTGTTGTTGTTCCCCTTCTCGATCGACCTCTTTCGATCCACCACTCACACCACTCGAAACCACCTCCTTGTGCAGAACTCGGCCGTCCTTTTCCCGAACGCAAAGAGCGACTGCGTGTCCACCACGCACTTGTATGTTCCGCTCCCCCTGTCGTCGGAGCCCGTTGCTTCCGCGACGACTTGAGCGTGATCTCCTCCAGCGCGTATTCCGCGTACACCGCAGTGCCCATACCAAGCCGTTTGGGCTCATAACCTGTAGGAAATGTAGAATCGAGTAGATGTGAATGACTTGGATTGAACGCGTGCCAGACGCGTTTCGGCCCCCGCCGGGGCCTCGTCAGTGGCTTTACCAATCTCGAAGTGAGAACTAACCAACCATCCGCTAACTAAGACCTATCACTATGCCTAGATCCTTCTAGAACCTTCCATGTGCCGTAACATAGGATACTACTCTGGAGTCGATGTACGTGCACATCTTGCACTTCCAACACACCACGCTCGGCAACGAGCGTGCAGAGCGAGAAGCCATCTCAGACAACAGCTTGGAGGCCACCGTCGCTGGCGCTGGTGTCGACACACGTGGGCTTCGAGGCGCCAGGTGAGGTTCTGGTGGAGTGAAGCTTGGACCTCTGGAATTGTCCTGAGGCGCATCAAATTCTCTGCGACGTCGTGTCCGAACGGGTAACGGAGCATGCTCACGCGCAGTACGCGTGAGATCGATTCCCACGGAGACCAAACTCCGCGACAAGAGCACGAGCAAGTGTTTTTGCAAGGAAACGCTGGTACGATGATCACCACAGACGCAAAGACTGAGCGCCGACTGGAGACTTCTTGTGCTTGGGGATACGCTCATCGTGGAACGTCCACGATGTTCTAGCAGACACGAGGATCACGAAGACAGCGCACGAGGTACTTGAGACTGCGAATACGGGGACGACAACCACTTCGCTCAGTTGACTGAGCGACGATGTGCGACTGCACAGCGTACGAAGAAGTATCTTGTAGACCCAGGCGACTGCGACGTCGGAATATAGGTGACCTGCGAGCTGGGGTTTCACTCGTCGTCGTGGAACCTCGCGTCACTCGCGCCGCACTCACTCACTCACTCGCTCTCACTCACTCACTCACTCACTTACTCACTCACTCACTCACTCATTTGTTCACTCGGCTTACTCACCGAGTGGCTCAGCGGTACAGTGCCGAGTCTGGTCACCGGTTCGATCCCGGCGTCAACTCCAGTTTTCTTCTTAATCATCATGGCGAGCGCCTCCGTGTACCCGCGGAGGCTGGTCGCCTTCTTCACCGCGGATATCAGCACCCGGCTCACTCACGCTTCGGAACGTGAGTGTCTTCTCGTATTCGTTCACGATGTCGGGAACGTCTTCCCGCAAACGACTGCGCGGCTCCCAAGTATCTTCACCTGGGGGGAGTCCCAGCCAACGCACGCGATAGTGTTGTTCCTTGTCCCGCAGGGCGCGACCCTGTGGAAACGCTTCAGTGTGACCGTCACGGGTACCATGACACTGGCGAAAGTCGTGGTCGACGATTCGCTCAACGATCCAACGCTGAGCGCCCGAAGAGTCGATCAAAGGAGGAGGACCATCTCGCTGGAAAGTTGCCGCGTCACTCGAGGACAAATCAGCGTCCGGGATCTCGGACGGATGGTATTTCTTTAAACGTCCGACGTAGAACGTCGGATGTAGCCGTAGTGTCGAAGGAATATCCAGAGTGTAAGCGTCACCAATGGTCTTGATCACCGTAAACGGCCCAATAAAGCGCGGCGCGAGTTTGTTCGCGCCGAGGTTGGTAACCACAGAGTTTCTGATACCTTCAGTCGACAGGAGCACTCGTTCGCCTGTCGTAAACGTGGCTGTGTTCTTGCGGCCAGCCTTATCAGCGTTCTCCTTCTGCTTGTCCACTGCGTCCTGCAGTGCGTCACGAACATAGCGGGTGACCGCTTGGCGCTGTAGTACGAAGTCGGAGACGACTGCGGAGTCGATTGGTCGCGCCGCATGCTTCGGCGCGTAGTTAGCTGGCGCAAGTGAGCTCGATGCGGAGCGTGTCACTGCGTTGACCGACGTGGGAACAGGGGATACACTCGAGATATCATTAGCAACCGGTGTATATACACGTTGACCCAGTACCGGTGTAGCCGCCGGAGACATCGCAGATGGAGTAGACGGCTTGTCGGCAGCTTCTTCCCCACCCAGAGTGGAGACACACGGCGCTGTGGGATGGCCCACGGCGAGGAGAGCAGGTACACGCGGGTGTCGCGCGTTGTTAACGAAGAAGGGCGTCAGCCCAGTCGACGCGTGTACCGCGTTGTTCAGAGCGAACTCGGCCAGTGGCAGAAACGAGCTCCAGCTGGAGAACGACGTCGCGTAGCTTCGAAGGACGTCTTCGAGGACGCGATTTACGCGCTCCGTCTGGCCGTCCGTTTCCGGATGGGCTGCTGTGGACATCATTAGCTTCGAGCCCAGTAGCTCGAAGAGCTTTGACCAGAAGGCCGACGTGAAGCGCGGGTCGCGGTCGGAGACGATAGATTCGGGAAGGCCATGATGACGGAAGACGGCATCAAGGAAGTGCACCGCGGTATCTGCCGCGGTGATCGCATCCGACACCGGAATCAGGTGAACCATCTTGCTGAAGCGGTCTACGAATACCAAGACACCTGATCGTCCTTTAGCATCGGGTGGGAGCCCGAAGATGAAGTCCATCGACACCGAGCGCCAGGCCTCGGTGGCCACTGGTAGAGGACGCAAGGGAGCCTGCGAAGACGAGGCAGGTTTCACGCGCTGGCAGGTCTCGCAGGTGCGCACCCACTTACGCACCCATTTGTACAGGTGTGGCCAATAAAAGTCGCGTGAAACAGCGGCAAATGTCTTCTCGCGACCGAGATGAGCGCCCAGCGGGGCATCATGAAACTCATGGATAATCCGTGAGCGCAGATCGGGGTCGTTAGGGACAACGACACGTGGGGCATCGAAGTTGTCGATGCTGTACGCCAGCAGCTCGTCCTCGAGACGATATCGGTGGATTTTGTTTCGTACAGAGCGGGAAAGGGCTCCCAGTGTGTCGGCGCTGGGAGAGCGGAGATGCTTCAGGATACTGGAGCACGTCGAGTCATGTTCGTAAGCAGCTCGGATCTCGTCGCGAAGTGGCATCACCGGGGAGACGCTCGTCAGGTTGACGCCTGACGCCTCACACG